CAGCCTTAAGGTGTTTGGTTTCTAAATTAATACTGAACTGAATATGAACTAAAAATGCATTCTCCTGAGGATTTCAGCCTATGCACTAGGAAATTTTAGCAGTTAATTATTATTTATTTCCATGGATTATTTCTTTCAAACTCGCTGCTTCAATGTTTACGTGTATGCATTTTCCGGATGTTTCTATTAGAACCACAACTGCACAATCCTGTGTATTTTTTTGTATCTTTAGTATGAAGAATTTCTGATTAAAGAGTATTTTGCAACGCAACTTTGTTACAGCAAGATTTCTCTAAGTCCGTGACACCTGGGGGTCATATCACCGGTCAGAACGATATTCCACTTACTCCTCTACTTCATGACGAGAAAGGAGAAAACGCTTGGTAAACAGATCTACTTTTAATTCCTACTGATTTCCCTCCGTGGTAAATGGTATCCAAGGTTTGTTGCTGGAGTCATTCCTTTGGATAAGAAGAACACATTTGAGCGTGTACTGTGGAGAGCTTGCAGACGAACGGCTTTTGTACGCATTAGTGATATAACACTCACCCTCGAAGACCCCGTAACGGTTGGTTTTTGTGAGATCTCCGCTGGAAAAAGATACCACTTACACAATTACTCGTCATCCCTGCCCTAATATTTTCTGCAATTTTTTTTCCTGTAGCGCAGTAATGCAAACCTTTCAGCTCGATCCTATCCTGAAATGTGTGTTTATTGTCTTCTTCAAGGGAGAAAGTCTCAAACTTATTATCGACAAAGTGTGCGATGGGTAAGATTGTTTAGGTATTTTACTATTATTTCTCTGCTCTTCATTGTGAGAAATGCTGTAAATTGTATTTTCTTTGTATATAATCCTTTCTATTCACGCATGCTCATAAATCGAAAAAAAAAACTGACTATTGCTTGTCATATTGTCCCATATCCATTATTATTTATTATTTAGAGGTCTATATCTCGAACTTTATATGTGTAATTTCCTAGAACTATGACAAGAAATGGTTTAGCGCAAATATCCCATCACTTTGGATTATTTAAGGTTCAATGCTCGACAATACCCATGCCCGAAAACGTCGAAAGAGCGGCAGACAGCGCTGTTTGAAACAATAGCTCGGATACAAGATCTCAAAATAGTTATAGATAGCACTCAGAAACATCGCTTTCAGGTAAGCATCTGATTTTTTGACCTTATTTCGTAAATTTTTGATCTTGTTTTTCAGATACTAAACGATGTCGCAGATGATTTGCCAGTCTGGCTAAAGAAGGTCCATCTGCAAAAGGCTATTTACAACACATTAAATATGTTTACTGTAAGTGAGTTCATGTAATGTCTAGAAATGAAATTATCGTGGTCTAGGTTGATACTAATGGTTTTCTGGCAGCCGAATGTTGGATTCCAGAAAATGAAATGGACACTGTACATAGTGCACTTCAAGATGGACTCGTGAGTTTTTTCCTCATTTATATTTGAGTACTTGTTAATTTTACGTTTAGTCTTCTTTTCTTTCTATCTTAGTGTCTATCTTGCCCTATTGTATATATAATTCCTTGAGGCATAGCTGGCGAGAGGTTGATGCTCTC